ACCTTATTTCTAGAAACCAGAACGTCAAGTAAAATGACAACACAAGCCCTATTACCCATTTTTCCAGCATTCAATGTTACTCCGTACTCCGTGATTCCGACAGCAATGTGCACCCTATAATCCCTGAAGATATAACCCCTGAAGATACCCTCAGTGACCCACTCAAAAATCATTGTACCTCGTAGATCAATTTAACAGGGTGGTATCACCAAATGTTTAAGCTTCATCGGATTTTCCCGCATCTGCAACATCAGTTCAACATCAACCAACCTCGTACAGCACAACAGTTATGTGTATGTGTCATGTCATGGGCCTTCATTCTGGTGCCATGTTATCAGATCGGATCATTATTACATCCGATGATATAGGGCTTAATTGACATTGACTAGATAACTTTTAGTAAGTATTTTTCAATACTTGGATGGCGAAGTCGCTGTAACATCAACTTCATTCATCTCGTCTCTTTCTTTCAAACTTCATTCATCTTTTGATCTGAACCCATCTCATACTTGATATATTCAAATGATTGATCGTTGTCGACTATTCTCTTCATCTTGAGATCTTCATTGAACCCCACTACATCCGTTTTGTCAATATGTCTTATACTCCATTTTCAGACAAGTATAACGAAGTACCTCAATCAGAGGATGGTGAAGGATTACTATCGCATACCCAGCCAAAATATAAACAATCCCCCAGACGAAATAACATCCTTTGGTATATCCTGTCAATACCGGTGATATCATTATTGTCAGTCGCTTTTGGTATATGGATTGGTGCTCGATTTGTGGCGAATCCTGCCAAATTATGTCCATCATATGTGCAACATTATTGTATGACCCAGTATCTGACCATTCATGTTTTAATTCTAATATGAAAATAGCTCCTATACTGAATGATATTGATACTTCATATCAACCAGTAATGTTCAATGGATCATTCATGAAGGAAAATGTGTTTAGATTAAAAGCAGGCCCTGAAGTGGATGAAGCTTGGGGAAGCCTAGGAGTACATTGTGAGTACTATTTTGTATCAATTGACTCGATTAAAGCTAATTATCCATAGATCGAAGTTTCGCATTACCAGCTAGCGAAGCAGAAAAATCCGGATTGACATCAGCTCATGTTCAAATAAACGAAAAATATGGGGGAGGATTTCCGGTAAACTTAGAAGGACTACATCATTTACATTGTCTTAATCTTGTAAGACAATCGCTATATTACAATTACGACTATTACCACGAACAAGGAGAAGGAGCATTCGTGAATGATGATAATGTCGTTCAATATCACGTCTGTAAGTTTATCCCCAAATCCGCCATTTCATCACATATCACTTCACTCAACGCCATTCTTCAACCAAAACACAAACTAACACACCCCAGCCCACTGTCTAGACATAATCCGCCAACAACTCATGTGCCAAGTTGACACGGGCGTCCTCGGCCAAGTATGGTGGGATAAATCGAAACCACAAGCTTTCGTAGACTTCAATACCGAACATAAATGCAAAAATTTCGACGCGATAAGACAATGGGCAGAGGGGAGACAAATGCCTGCGGGTGGCGCTCCGGATTTCTTACAGAGACCAAAGGAAAGTGATGTTCTTGAATCTATACCCTAAGATGGGATGATGAAGATGATGAATTACAAATGATGTATTGATGGGATGAGGCTTGGTTGGGTCGGATATGGTGTTTTGGATGGGATATATGGGGTGGGATTTGATTGGAAACCTGGGTTATGTTACGAGTAATGTCAATTGTAATGTTCAAAAATCGCGAAGTATCTACAGGGAGATGTGATGAATAACCAGCTACATTCCCCTCATCTTTTCACGGCCAGGTCTAGAATGTAGCAATCTACACCGCGCGACCCTTTCCTAAAGAAGTGGAATCAAAGATACCTTGCTAGTCTTGCTAGTCTTCCCGCCCCACGGAACGGCACTGATAATAGTCTCTTTTACAATGCCGGAATTTTCCTACCGCTTTCAACACGAACTCGTCCAATAACTAAGAGTTCTGGAATCTACTCACCGCACACCATTTGAATTCGTGACAGAATCCCTGCAAAAACCATATTTTCTCATATAAAATTAAATATCAAATAACTTTTTCATTATCCAATAGAATCAATTAAAATTTTAAAATATAATAATTAACTATATAAAGATTTCAGAAAATTATATATTTTATTTTTAATAATTTTTGATTGAAAATCACAAGTATTTAAAGTTGGAAATTTTCAAAATTTTCATTGTGTAACGTTTTTTTCATATTTTCTCCATATAAAATAAACGATTTTTTTGAACTTTTTCATTTCTTTAATTTCGAATATGTATAACTTCAAAACAAAAATTAATAAAAATATTTTGTTCAATTTTTAATAAATCTTGATTAATTATCTTTTTATAAATATAGAATTTAATAAATTATCTTAATATTTTATATATATAATAAAGATCTAAAAAGGTGAAAAATCGTCATTTTTGGTGTGATTTCGCTTAGTGTGCGGTGAGTCCGGTCCAGAACTCTTACCTTCATTTAAGTCTCTTTTTTGCTGTTACCTATCGCAAGCATTGCCCTTTAACTATCACCCACCATCTTTTGTCTAGAACATATAAAAGAAGCGAAGTATATTTCTCCGCGCTAGCAAAACCCGAACGCTGCCTGATATTTTCTTCTCTGTTGTGTTGGTGTTCAAGCAAAGACGGTGTTTTTTTTTTCATCTTTTTATGGGTGGGTAGGTAGGTAGGTATGCAAAGTTGGGAGTTCAGATAGTCAGTAAGTAGGTAGTAAGTAGGTAGTAAGTAGGTAGTAAGTAGGTAGTAAGTAGGTAGTAAGTAGGTAATAAGTAGGTAGTAAGTAGATAGTAAGTAGGTAGTAAGTAGGTAATAGGTAGGTGGTAAGTGAATGAATGAGTGAATGATATTTGCAATGTATATGTGTATACTCTATATATTGAGTTTTTCATTAATATTTGTTCTTGGGATGCGTGGGGGAGATATACCCTATCCTCGAGAAGTGGCTATATATATATATATATCTATCTATCGTCAATCTAGTTAGTTATTTAAACACGGGAAAAGGAAAGTATACAACATCTATGGCGATAAGATATATTGATAGAATAATTTGTCTGTAGCATTGGGCTGGGATTGGGATTTCTGGAATACTTTCTTTTATATTGATCGTAGTTGATCTTCCTGGATATCATCCATGTGATGATTACTAAATTATCATCTAAACATACCTTTTGCTGTTGATTTTTGCGAGAATTGTCTCTTTTCATCTATATTCTCCCCCCATCCCCCAGGGAGATACAACCTCCTACAGATTCTGTGCAATTAATCGTTCAAATTAAATGACGCATTTAAAAAGCAGTCAAGAAATATATCTTTCACTCCTCTGTTTGTCAATTTGTTCACATGGAGATAAATTTACTGTAGTTCTAGTTTCATTTATACTACAAGAATATCCATTGTTTGATTTGATATATAGACGGTATATCGGCTATTGAGGGAATGTGTTAAATTCCTTCCTTATTTTGTTGGGATATAATGTAGAGATATGGATTCATGGATTTGCTTTTTAATCCTCGGAGTTCTTTTTGGACTTTTGACTTTGAAAGTATAAAAGAAGTTCGTGGTACAGTTTTCTCTCGTCATAGGATAATCTACCCAAAAAAATCGCGACCGCCTAGGGATTTGTGGAAATCTGTTTTTTGTTCGATCGAGGATGTAGGGAGGATGATTATGTTGTTATTGTGTGTATATAATACGGAATTGAGAGTTAGGTTTCGTTTATATGTTGTTGTTCTAGGTTGGTAGCTGGTGATTGTTAATCTTTGGGTATTTGCTGTGACTGGCATTTCCATATTGATATTGGATGAACTTTCTTCCAAGAGAAGATCAAATAAAGGAAGATAGAGTATAGTTCGGTTACAAGCCACTTGATATGGATATACACAATAGTTCTGCATAGTAGACATGTACACTTTGGTACGCCTGTGTTTAGATAAATGGAGGAGATGCAGATGCTGGAGTAAGCTCTTTTATAAACTATTTCGAGCTTCTGTGGGGATCTAAGTTTCATTCACTTTTTTGAACTCGGAATTCCGCTGAACTCCTAGTTATTTCTGGAGGAGAACTGAGGCAGGTTTTGGATAGGTGACTGCTAGTGATTGGAGTGTGTATTGAGATATATAAAGTAGTATCTGATGAAATTTGGCAGAAAATAAAGAATGCTGGAATACCTAGCTAAGGAAAAGGGGCAGGGAGGAAGCAAGTGGATGGATCAATAGCTACTACTGTTATGGAAGTAGCATGCGTTTTGTTTGTAATATATATTGAGATGGAAATCTAATCCAAGACTTGTATCTCAGATTGGGCTTTAAGTTCTTGTCGTCGCTTTCGTATTCTTATTGTCCGTACACTCTCCAATAGTTTATGATTGGATTTTGCTCTGAAGCTTCCTGGATAACACAGAATATACAACCGAAAGTTTTATCAACGTTGTCATCTAAGAAACTGTAGTCACCGTATATATTTTGTTGCTGTCGCTTTATATCCTAGTATACATGCTACAGAGTAGACCACTTCACAGACCTGCCATAAAAAAAGCAAATATAGTGTTGAATTGAAGTAAACCAATGATGTCAGGACGGAAAAAAAGAGCAAAGTAAGGAATAACTATTGTGCAAAACATTTGATGCTATAATGTGAGCTCATATTTCCTGGTTGAGATCAACAGCCTAATCCTATCAACAATTTATATCCCCCCCTCGTTAAACTCCAGGGAGGATAAACGATTCTATTCACAGCCCCACAACGAAATCCCCACTACACCCACAATAATACTCATTGCAACATCCATCCAACTCACCCACCGCAAATGTGGGTACATACGTGGGGTCAACAAAAGAAATTCTCCCAACCGCTCCTAAACCTTCCACCCCAATTCCAGAACCTCTAACCCAGCCCCAAACCCAAAAAAAGTGACATGCTGCGAGAGGGGTTCGAACCCTCGCATCTTTCGATAATGGTGAAATTCTGAGAACTTAAAACCATCGCCTTAGACTATCATTTTAATTAGTACGGATTGATATTCAAGTGGAGAACTATGTGTGACTTACCCACTCGGCCATCACAGCTCGTTGTGTTTGTTGGATGAGAGGTTGGATGTGGGGTTTGGGTATATATACTGTTTGTATTGTTTAGATGATGGTGTGCTGTGGCCTTTTTTGGTAAATTTGAGGGTTCTGTTGTTGATGGATTTTCACCGGGAGGGGGATGGGAAGGAGTAATCTTGCGATCCTATGTCCATGATAGCGATTAGGGAATTGATGAGCGAGCATGTATATGGAACGATGACTTGTATTAGGATATACATGATTCTTAGATGATGCAAATGCATCCATCATTACTTGTTTCTCGATCTGCGATGTAGATGTAAAATACTCGCTGATAATATTTTTCAATATCATTGCCGGCTCTAGCTACCCATCATCGTCAAAAAGAAAAACGAGCATGGACTCATCCAAATATCTTCATCCTTTACTAAAGATTGCCAAAATGCAAAAAAGCCTACTTGAATCAACGAAAAGAAAGCCAAAAAAGCCAAAAAAAAAACCCCCCTGAAAACGAACTTTGACTACCACACCTCTACAAATCACTGATCTATGTATTGTTACCATGAGGATGCAGAATAGCTGAATACTGGCCTTTTCATGCCAGGAAAGCAGGATTCTACCTATACTTCTGACGATAAGTAGTGAAAATCTAGTACTCACTGTGCCCTGTGTGGATGAGCAGTTGTATTCACCGCGGTAGCGGTCATTTACTGCGTTTGGCCATTCTAGTTCTGCTCATCAACTAGGACTTATATAAATAGGCAGCACAATAATAACAAGAAGAATCAAAAGGCATATGAAGGTCTTTGATACGAAACATCGAGGAATAGATCACCATATCCACTTGTAGTAATATCTTACTATTTTTTTTGCCACTGCTGAAGGAAGATACCTTAATTCTCCGCTTTAGTTTCGTTCCAGTTTTAAGTGCTTATTGTACTAATTGTTTCCATTCTCATCGTTGTTACTATCCCTAACAAGAAATTACATTGACAAAAATCTCATAAAATGGACCTTGGGCTTTGTTCCGATAGAGTCCATGGTTCACACGAAGGTCTTGGGAGTTGCAAAACCCTTCTAGATTCGTTGTATTGATAAAGTTCTTGTACATCCAGTTACCTAAGTAGTCAAAGCCAATCAAACTTCAACCACTACTCGAACTGGAAATTCCGACTCGAATTCCAGACTCGAATTCAACTTTGAATCCATACCCTTCACCAGCAAAAAAAAAAGTTACAAGCCAAACAACAGAACACCCCGCAATCCCAAAAAAACACAACCAAACCCCAAAAGCCCCGAGGCATTTTTTTTGTTCCCTTCCTAGCTAACATTTTCCCCAAAATCTCCGATTATCACGTTCTATAAATATCATGGTCGCAACCCCAAGAATGAAAAAATCTACAAATATCCACCCTAGACATAATGTCAACGCCTAATCTGTTGTCGCCAGGAAGAGGATAATCCGGCTATTTAGTATTGAATAGATTGTGAATGCTCCTGTGATGATTGGTGGGAGATATATGATGGTGATGAGTTCCCTCGAACCAAACTTCGTTCTATGATTTCCATTGCCGTATGCATTGTTTGAGGACTAGTTGCGGCTATAGAACCACTCGGGATTAAACGAGTGGATAATGGTAATAGATTATATCCATTGAGGCAGTAAGGCATGCATGTTTGAGAATTCCCTGGAGACTTCTTTCATAAGAATATTGCTTCTGGAGATGAATATGCTTCTTCAAAACTATCAACACTCCGCGTGGGTGAAAAGCCTCGATACCATAGGTCTACTTTCAATGGTGATACGTACCATGTTGTAACCTCAAAATCCTTGTTGTACCTCTAACAATCGCCTGCATACTCAGGGGCCGTAACGTACACCCAATAAAGGTAACTGCGCACAGAAGGAAGGCACAAATGGAAATTATAGGAGGATGTAAGTCTATTATCATGCCCAATTACTTGTTCATGGACATCAACAGACGATGGATTGTGTACAAACAATTGCTTATTGGTTTCAGATGTGCAACAAAACTATCTGCTATTGCCTACATAAAGGAAAACTTCCCTACATTCTAGGGGCATTCCCCGCGGATCATATGTTGTCACGAGGAATGATTACTATATAAACCCAATTAACCACTCGGTAATTGTGGCGTCACTCTTATCGTGATATATGTTCAACAAAACTATTCATTTCTGGAAGAAAATCTCAAATCAGATATGGAGCAAGAAATATCCCTGTTGCTATTATCCAGAGAAAAATCTCTCTATCGCCCAAATTAGATATATGACAAAACTGTTAATTACTGAAAAGAATTCTTAATCAGACATGCAACAAAACTTTATGCGCTTGCCATCCAGAGAGAATCCCGCAATCAGATGTGCAACGGAAATGTCCTCTCACCTGATGATCATGGGATTTACCATTTCAGATGTTCAACAAATGATTTTTAATACACCAATTACTTTCCATCGATATCGTCAATGCCTTCCTAAATATACGATCAAGCTCTCTTACCAATAAGCTCCAACACCTTAAATCCATAGCTTATCGTGATGGGATTGGTACAGGCGGGTAGAGCATATGGCGTGATGATCATTTTATCCTCATCTATCTCGCAGTCTCAATCCCTCTAATATTAGTTGTTTGATCGAAGGAAAAGTGGAATGGATGTATGAAACAAAACTAAGTAGGTGATGAGGATTTATACAAGGTAGGGCGAAGATTCACACCAAGCTTAATTTGGTTAGCCATAAAAATGCTCGGGGCCTACCGAGAGCATTTGATTATCTGGCGCGATAACTTTAACACGTTATACCAATATGCCCAGTGAGATCTTCATAGTGAGCCTTTACTGACATTCAATTCTCAGGTGAGCTGAAGGTAAGCTTGCAGTTTCGGACATAGAGTACAGTAAGTACGGTGAGCCATACCCCACCAAAGATCTTCATTGATACCAAAAAGCCAAGAGCCAAGATGCGGAGGGAGCTACAAATAGCATCTTTCTGCACAACAATCTATCTACAAGAATTTTATATCTTTCCTTGAACTGTGAAGTTTAAATGATAATGTTGCTTATTGTTTTTCATTTCTTTCTCCTTTATCCAATAACCAAGTTCTTGGTTTCTTAAACAGGGATTGATTCTTTTAGACCTTACAAACCATGATTTTTAGCGACGTCATAGGGTCTGGCCATCTGTCTGCCGGGCAGCGGGAGATTGACACCAAACCTTCTCTTTGAAGAAAAATTAATATATTCTCTAGATGCGCGATAGACCTTTCTAAAATAAAAGTATACTTTTCAATCAACTATTATTTCTTCAATATGTTTTGAGATAGAACTTTCATCTGTCATTTCATTTATGGCATTCTATTAATCTTCTCTTACTTCTTGCACAATGAACGATCCAGGTCTCGATGAACCCATCTCCAACGATGCCGACGATGTAGAGAATCAGCACCGTGATGAGCGAGATGAAACTAAGGAAGATGAAGATGCTTTCCTCAACCCAAGGTACGTGAAAGGGAGATCTCTGCAGATATTACCATTTACTCCAAAATAACGCACTTTACTAACAAACATTCCCCTAGTCGTTGGTGGTTTGCTAGTACCGCATTTCCTCTCATCGCCGGCACATTTGGACCTATGGCTTCAGCATTCAGTATTTGTGCATTAGTTGTACGTTGGAGAGTATCGATACCACCAGGCGGAGTAGAAGAGCATGGAATTTACATCGATGATCCGAAATGGTATGCGCATCGTACACTTTTGTAGAAATTATGTTGACTTCGAATCAGGTTGATTGGTATAAATGCAGCACAATTAGCAATAGCACTCATTTCGAATCTATTCCTACTTTTAAATATGGCAGAAAGAGTTCGGTTTTCGATTGCACAACCTATTACGATTATAGGCTGGTACCTATCATCTTTTACATTAATTGGTTTGACAGCTTGTGCTTCTGGGCCGTTGATACTCCAACCACTTGCTGCTCACGCCTATACACAGGCATTCTACTATGCGATATTTTCTGCCGGTCTTTACTTCTTGGTGGCTAGTTTAATGATGGTTACAGTATATGGAGCACATAAAGGACATTATGCAAAGGAGTTTAAATTGACTATGAGTCAAAGAACTTTGATGTTACAAACGATCAGTTTTCTAGTATATTTACTTGCTGGTGCGGCAGTATTTGCTCATGTCGAATCATGGCAATATCTTGATGCTGTTTATTGGTGTGATTTTACACTTTTAACAGTTGGTATTGGAGATTATGCACCAATGACACATTTAGGAAGAAGTCTCTTGTTTCCCTTCGCAATCGGTGGTATCATCATTTTGGGTTTGGTTATTGGCTCGATTCGATCCTTGGTATTAGATCGTGGGAAGGTTAAACTAGGAGCAAGAATGGTTGAAAAGGAACGAAGGCGTATTTTAAAGAAAACCCAGAAGAAAAATATCGAAATATTAAAGCCCAACGAAACAGGAGAGTCCGAGTCAAACAATACGCTCATCAATAATGATGGTCTTACGGAAAGAGAAAGACGTCAACAAGAATTCGAATTAATGAGACAAATTCAAGAAGAGGCAGCTACCAAACGTCGTTGGACTTCTTTAATCATTTCTGGAACTACATGGTTTGTACTTTGGTTTGTTGGTGCAGCAATATTTCGAGTCACGGAGTATACACAAAACTGGAGTTACTTCGAATCTCTTTACTTTTCTTACACATCTCTTCTAACCATCGGATATGGTGATTATTATCCACAATCCAATTCTGGAAAACCATTTTTTGTTTTCTGGTCTCTTCTCGCCGTTCCATCTCTCACAATTCTTATCAGCAATATGGGCGACACAATCATCAAGGGGATTCGTGATTTTACTCTTTGGATAGGAAATTCTACTATCTTACCTGGTGAAAAAGGAGTACGGCATTCTCTCAAAGAAACAATAAATAAGTTGACATTCGGAAAAATATTTGAAGTTTCTGAACTACCTCCTGGTATTGAAGGAGCA